CCGGCGGGCGGGGCCGGCCCGGAGTCAGGCCCCCGGGGCTTCACGCGACGTGCCCAAATATTGGGAACAAAAGCGGGAAAAGAGGAGTGAGAGCGGGAGGGAGGGAGGGAGTAAGGGAGAGAGCGAGGAAGCAGAAATTAGGGGGTCTTAGATGAAAAAAAAAAAAGAAAAAAGAAAGTAGCTTTAGGGGGAATGTGCTGTGGAGTGTGAAATTGCAGCCCATGGTGCTCCATATTGTACCAGAAGCTCTTCCAAAAAAAAAAAAAAAAAACAGTCCTCCTCCAACGTGACCAGAGGGCTAGCAGGGGGAGGGGCGGGGAGGAGATGGGGAGGAGGAGGGAGAAGGCCCGGCAGGAGCCGGTCAGGCCGGGCTGGAGAGGGGCCGGGTGCGTTCGCCCGCTGCCTGGGATTTGGCCGCCAACTGTATGCACTCTGGGGTGCGTCGGGGCCAGAAGGGCGAATGGACTGAGGACGTCCACCTCTGAGTTTGATTGTCAGAAGAACTTTTCTTTTGTCTTTTCTTTTGGTGATAGTGACTTCCAAAACTGGGAATAATCCAGAAAAAGCTCGGCTGTGGAGCAGCTGCTCTAATCTATCCTCGTCCCTTCTTCATCTCTGCTTCTCTTCCCTTCGGACTAGTTTTTTCCCCTTTGATTCTAAACAGCTTTCCCCCCCCCCCCCGAACTTTAATGCGTTTAATTTGGTCCGCGCTGTGGGGAGCATTTCCTGGGGAGATACACTTAATTTCGGAATTTCTAATCCCCTCCCTCAGAGCCCCGGCCCTAGCTCCCCTTGCTGCTCCCCAGGAGGTGAAAGGAAGAAGGCAGTCCCAGACCACGGGGGAGGGCACAGCTGGGATGCTCCAGTCGCCCCAGCCCCCCACCAGGCCCCCTACGGTCCAGTCGCCTTCCTGCACTACTGCAGGCCAGGCGCCTAGGCCCCAAGTCAGCGCTCTGCGGACAGAGAGGAGGCAACCACACCTCTGCATTTTCTGGTCAGGACAGAAAGCTCTGAGCCAGGGACCCAGAAACCCGAAACCGAGAAGATTCAGCAAAGGAGTGGGTGCAGAGGACAAGATCTACGCGGGCATTTCACTCCTGCATAATCTGCCCATAATCTGCCCATAATCTGAGTCACGCTTGGCCTAGGGGACCTATGTATAGGTAGACTTCAGATGGGGGTACTTATTGTAAACCACCGCCTCCGGACACCCACACCCAGGCAAAGCAGGCGTGGCCCGATGGGGAGAACCAGGCCGTCCTTAGCTCCACCAAAAGGGAGGAGGCAAGAGTGGGGGCCGCCAGGCGCCAGGCGAGCCTGGCAGGGAAGAGAGCGAAGAAGGCGAAGGAGCCGAGATCCACAAGGAAGATTTATTGGGCAGATCAGATGCACAGAGGCAGCTAATGAAGCAAATCCCGAGATGGGTATCAGAGCAACTCCCCAAAAGTTTATTTGCCTTTAAATTTCCGCAGGGAGGCGGGCGCCTTGTTTGAAGTGTAAATGCCCCTAGGTTGGGGGGTGGAAGGGCTGCTTTGAAAACACCAGAGAAAAAAGGTTCATTTAGAGGCAGACGGGAAAAGCAACCAACCCTGACAGGTCGGAGCCCCGGTTGTGTTTGGGGTTGGGTTGTTTTCTTTCTTCCTCTTTCTTTCCCTTTTCCTCTTCTTTCTTTCTTTCTTCTTCTTTTTTTCTGTTTTTTGTGGGGTTTTTTGTTTTGTTTTTGACTGGCTCTTTTCCCCTCTACTAGACTCTATAGAAGAAAAAGGGAGAGGCCAGTGGTAAGAAAAACCTACAAGTCAGCCCTTCAACCTGAACCCAGGGAAGGGAAAACCTCAGCTAACAGGGCTTCCAAATCTCCATGGAGTGTTCTTTGACTTTCTAGACCCAGGGAACTAAGAAGGAAACTGTCAGGGGTTGGCCATGCAGGAGGATGAGTGACCAGGATAGTGCAGTGCTGGGAAGAGTGTCCTAAGAACAGGGGACACGCTAGGGCTCTCAGGAGCTGCCTGGGAACTGGACTATCATGGGTCATCACTACTGAGAGGGTTATGTCAAGGATAAATGTGTAAGTACAACTTCCAGCACATTTGGTGCATTGTTAGTTGCTTCTTTACAAAATGTGACAATCAATCTCTCCCAATCTGTGAAAATGCCTGTTGTCCACACTTCATAATATGTGAAACATAGGAATATACCGAATTCTAGAAAAATCTAAATCTATGTGTGGATGGGGGAATGCTACTCACAGCCTTGTTCCTTCAATAATTCAAACTTCCCAAGACTTAACTTACCAAATTACCAACATATGGAGACCTGGGCCAAGGGTTCCTTTAGTTCTGGGCCCCTCTGTGTATGATCCTTTTTCAATACTCCGTACCTCTAATTTTTGGTTAATTATCTCCCCAAAGGAGAGATACCAAGGCTGTACCACTTGAGAGACCCTTGCATCCAGGCCTGAGCTGTTCCCTTTAGGCAGTGGGAACTCTGTTTGCCTTTTTCACTCCCCACACGAAGTTGGTGCGTGTTCGTGGGGTTGAGGCCAAAGCAAACCCGGGAGCGCCATCTGCAGGCCTTGATAGGAAGAGACTGGCCTTCAGGGCTGGACCCTGCGCCTTCAGCCTTTGGCCCAAGGGAACCTGCTCTGCTGCCCAAGGGAAGTAGGGGATAGAGGTGATAGAGGTGGGATGGGGAGGCTTCTCTCTCTCTCTCTCTCTCTCTTTCTCTCTCTCTCTCTGTTACTATGCAGATGAATTGAACAGATCCAGCTCAGGACGACCCAGGAGAGAGGGCAAATGCCAGTATCCCAGCGGACCCAGTCCCCTTAGTGGAAGATTCAGAACACTGTGAGGCTGAGCCTGGCCTAAAACCCGCCCAAGAAGTAAGGGCACCCTGAAAACCAGGGTCTGAGATACCTAGTAGGAGTCTGGTCTGAATGGGGCTGAGTCAGGCGGGTGAGGCCCCTAATCCTATCTACTGCCCAGGCTTTGGCCAAAGGGACACGAGTCCGCGGCTCTTTCCCCGGACGCCAGGGTCTGCAGTAAGGGGACTGGGAGGAAAGGAACCTCGAGTCCGGCGGCGAGAGCTCAGCACAGCGCAGCTCCGGCTTTACCAAGCCGCCCTTTTGCAGATCCAGGGAAGCGGGGGGAGGGAGCGAAGGAGGGAGAGAGAGTTAAAACATCAGCTGAAGTGCCAAGATGATTTATGAGACGAGGGAAAATATTTCATAAAGATCTCCCGGATATTCTGTACTTAACCAGTTAGGAGACAAAGGGCTTCTCCTGCCTAGTGCGTGCGAGCGGACCCCAGCGAGCAAGGGAGCGAGTGCCGGCAAGGGCTGCGGAGGCTGGGCCAGTGGCTCCGGTAGGAGTGGGGCCAGGCCGGCGTGCTGCGCCTTCTGCGCCCGCTCCGGATCCGCAGACCTAACAGCGGGGGCGCTCAGCCGCATTCGCAGCCTCCTCTTCTCCCCAGCCGGGGAGAGCGAGCCTTGGTCTCCCGCATCCTTTGCTTCCATCGACCAGCCGCTTCGCACTGTATCGCTCCCCATTACCCTCCCCGGCTACCCAGGGATCCAGGAGCCAAGTCCCCGGCTCTACTGCCGTCCTTTGGGTCCCACCGAGGCAGGTGGGTCCTCGCCGGAGGCCTCTAGCTCGATTCTAAACCAAGCGTTCTGGACTGTCCAGACCCGGAGGGCAAGGGGACAAGGGGGTGGGGGGCAACCGCGTGTGGGACAGGATAGGACAAACTGCTGGGCACTTTGCCCCGGAATGGGAATAGGGGGTGCGGGGATGGGAAGGTACCATAGGAGGGAAAGGCCAAAGGGAAGGATTAGAGAAAGAGGAAGGAAGAGACCAGAAGGAACGGAAGGGAACTCCGTGCTAAGGGTAGAGGGGTTAGGACTAGCCCAGGGCAGCGCGGCTCAGTCGGGCACTGGCCAGTGGATGGCAGGGCCGGGCGAGTTGGGAATGAGAGCCCAGCTTCTGAGCGCGGCGCGCTCCGCGGCTCTCTGTCGTCGTCTGAATATTCATTAGACTGGCCGCTCTTTATCCTTATCTAACGTTTATCTTATCGGCGAGTTTCGTTTCTCAGTGTAGTTTTAATCCTGGGCTCCCATTCCTCCTCCCCCTGGCCCGCTCCTCTCCCTCCCTCTTCCTTCGCCCGCTGCTCCCCCCTCCCTCCCGTATCCCCCTCCCTGCCCTCCCCTCTCCAGCACCGGAGTGACAGGCGCGGGGCCCTCCTCGCCGAAGCTCGGGGCTCCGGCGCTGGCGAATCACAGAGTGGTGGAATCTATTGCCTTTGTCTGACAAGTCATCCATCTCCCGGCGCGGGGAGGGGGAGGGGGTCTGGAGGGGGCTTTGCAGCTTTTAGAGAGACACACACCCGGAGCCAAAGCTCCAGTCTCTGGCCGAGTCTTCTCGCCGCCGCAACCCACCTGGGGCCAGCCTAGCGCTGCCGGCACCGCTTGGCTCCCTCCCTCCCGGCCCTTCGGCCGCGGCGGCGTGCGCCTGGCTTTTCCGCGGGCGGGGGCCGGCTCGCGTGCTCCCCTCCCGCAGGCGCCCGCTCGGACATCCCGGGGATTGCTACTTCTCTGCCAACTTCGCCAACTCGCCCACACTTGGAGCGGCCCGGCTCCTCTGCCGGCGCCCTCGGGCCGCCCCAGCCCGGCGCCCTCTTCGATCAACGCCTTTCGGATGACCGGGTTCCAGGGAAGCTGAGCGAGCGGCCTCCCTCACCGGGCCTCAACCCTGGCCGCAGCTGCGGCGTGAGCCATGAGCCCCCAGTACCCCCTGGCCCGACCGGTCGTCCCGGGGCCGCTCTGCTGACCGCCCAGCGCCGCTCCCTGACAGTGGGAAGTTGCGGCCACTGCGGTGGCAAGTCCCAGCGGGCCAGGAGTCCCTGCGGAGTGCGGAGCGGCGCCCTCCGCCCCCGCGAGCCCCGCAGCAGCCGGGCGCCCGCTCACCCACCCTCCCCCCATCGTCCCTCCCTTTTCTCCTCAAGTCCTGAAGTTGAGTTTGCGAGGCGACACGGCGGCGGCGGCCGCGCTGCTCCCGCTCCTCTGTCTCCCCATGGATATGCACTGCAAAGCAGACCCCTTCTCCGCGATGCACCGTGAGTACCGGCGCCCGGCTCCTGTCCCCTGTCCCGGTTCCCACCTGTCTACCCCTGGCGCTGTCCGGCCCCCAGCGCTTAGGTCCCATCCCAGAGACTACGCTGGCTTTTCCAGGTCCCTCTTTTTCGTTCTGCCTTTTACTCTCAGCTGGTTTCTTGTGCCTTCAGCCTCTCTCCCTTCTGTCTTCTGTCACCCATGCTTATCCCTCTGCCTGCCTTCCCTGGTGCTCATCACCTGCTTTGCTCCGTCCACCTGCTCCTACTTAGGTCGTGGGATCCACAGCCCTGGACCCTGGTACCAGTTACTACTCCCTGGTCAGCCTTTTGCCCTGGCTGAAGGACTAATTGGCAGGCAGTTTTCAGGGTGTTGTGTTATTGTTGTTTTTCATCCTCTATCTTTTCTCCATCTCTCACTGTTTGCCTTCCTCTCCTCCCTCCCCTCATTTCTACCTTCCTCAAACTTAGAGTTGTGGTTGTCCAGGAGGAGACTCCTAACCCTCGGCAACCTTAGTGTCCCGACAACAGGGCAGAAGAGCCAGGGGGTGGGGTGCCCCCTTCTGACCCTCAGCTCTCAGCATCTCTTGGCCCTTCCACCCTGGTCATGGCTTCTTGGGGGCTGGTTTGAAATATTTCCTTCCTCTTTCTTTCCCACCTCCCACCTCTCCTTCCCTTTGAGTTGGGAATTAGAGGTTGGCAGGATGAGGTGATCATCTTTTCCCCACCTCTGCCTTGGGAGATGCTCTAAAAACAAAGAGGAGTTCTGAGAAGAAATCGAAGTCAGGGAGAGAGCAAATCGCTGAGCCTTCTAAACTGGTTCCTGGATAGAGTGAGATTCTGTTCTCAATCTGGAGACTCCTTGCCTGCCTCTGGAGACTCCTTGCCTGCCTCCCACTCCCAGTTAAGGACTACACAGCCAGCACCCTGGCTAGGGGGGTCAGCAAAGAACGGAAAAAAATGAGAGGGAAAGAACAAAAGAAAGGCAAAAGCCAAAGCTGAGGAAAAAGGAAGAGAAATCAAAACAAGAAGGAAATCAAAGAGAGAAAATTGAAAGAATGTTACAGAAAAAAAGGGGGGAGAAAAGAAATAGAAAAACAGAAAAAAGGGAGAAATGTTTTGATAAAATTTAAATTTATCAATTCATGTCATGTCTTTAGCTTGGAAACTATTCATGAGAATTTTTTAAGCAGGCTTTTTTTTTTAAATAACATTCTAAATAGAAAACTCCTCCCCATGTGTAAATTAATAATTAAGGATAATTTGTAACTTTTCACAAGGTAACTTTTTAGACCTGGCTTTGATCTGTGCTCAAGACAAGATAGCCAGGCAGGGAGAGCTATGCTTTCTCTTCTAAGCATATGTTTAGCTTTACAGGGGGATCATTAAAAACTACTCCTGGGATAAATTCATTTCCCTAAATAATTTTCCAGCACAGGAAACCCAAGCCGGGGCCTTCAGGCCGCCGCGGGTCTCCGGCAGCCAACCGGCTGGGAAGCCTCGCTCCTTTTCGAAAGGAGTGGAACAGGGTCCACGCGCGGTGTTCGCCCAGGCCGCCAGCTTCACAGCCCTGCTGCCTCTGCCCTGCCTGTCTTGTGGGTTGCTCCAGGGATCCGCAGAGTCCCGGCAATCTACTGGGAGCTCCTTTGAAACCCAAAGGGGGAGCAAGGCCAGCAGAAGGTGGTCAGAAGAGGGGAGAAAGCTCGGGCTGGCGGGCCGGCGGAGTGGCCAGGCGAGCAGCTGCAGTCCCCATCGGCGCCGGCGGCAGTGGCGCACTCCAAGCCCGACTCAGCGCCGGCCCTCAGCCGACCACCGGCCCTGGACTCCCATCGTGGCCCCTTCCAATCCTCATCCCTTAGATTGGAGCCGAGGGGACGGGCCCAGAGCCCGGGGAGGCTGAATTATTCATCTTTAATCTGCTCGCAGCTGCCGCCTTTTCATACCGGTAACGCGAGTTCTCCCGGGACTAAATTATTGATGGTGGGGTTTGGAGGAAGGGGAGGGGTGAGGAGTGGGACTAGCGATGGGGAGACTATAGCGATGAAAGGCAAAACAAGGGGTCCAGGCTTCCAGGAGCCGCAAGATCAGAGGCCTCTGCCCAGGGTTTTGCCCAAGCTTTCTCTTGTTACCCCCAGAAAGGAACGGTGGAGAAAAAAAGGGGGCATAAGATGTCCCCGCTTTCTCCGAAAATCAAAAATCGTTTGAGGCTAGAGGGACAGGGGCTGCAGGTTGCTGGCTCTGTCGGGCAAGCCTCGGTCAGTAGAAGTCTCTGCGCTTGGATTGCTCAGTATTGCGTCTGCAGGTTGATCGCTCTGGGTGCAGGATTTCTAGGCTGCTGTAGGCCAGGGAGAGTGGGGCACGGGGTAGCGCCCTCAGGCCCGACACCCGGTGGCCGCTTGGCTCTAAGGTTGGGAGTCTGCGCTGAGTTGGATTGGAAACACAGGGCTTGCTGTTGGCAAGGCGAGCATAAGCTCTTGCTGCTCGGTTTCCTGGGATGGGGCGGGGGTTGGGGGGAGACGAGGCATGAAAGGTCAGAGGGACCCGACAGGCTTAGGCCGGTTACACAGGGTGTCCAGGAGTCCTCAGCCCGCCGGGGCGCTCTGTAACATGCCAGCTAGGCAAAGCGTTGGGCCCTAGCCGGGCGCAGCGCGGCAGGCCGGTGAACCCCAGCAGCGTGCGTTCTCCGGCGGATGCCGGGAGCAGCGCAGCTCGCCGACTCCCGGGCTCTGAGTTTAGCAAATACCTCTTCTGCCTCCCCCTTTCCACCTGATTTTCTTTCCACTTTAGACCTTAGGGAGGTGAGGGGGAAATGTAGATCCCAAATATCTAAAGACAGAAAACATAAAGGAAAGAAAAACTCCCGATCAAATAAAAAATAACAACAAAAAAAAAAACAGAAGAGGTAGTACAATTCCAGTAAAAAAATAATTACAAGGGAAGAGGTAGGGAGCAAAGTAATATGCATGTGTGACTTAGCCTTTCTCTGTACTCTGGAAGCCGCTGGGCAGAGTCAAGTGGACCCCAACCCCCAAAATCATCCCCCTCCAAGCCTTTGCACGCTCCAATCTGCCCCCTTGTGATGTGCAGGCGGGATCGGGCTCGCACTTGTTCTGCTCTGCCGGGCCCTTCCCCTTCTCAATTTCCTACATTCATTCCCTCTGGCATCGATTCCCCTATGCTGTTTTTCTCCCTCTTTCTCTTTTCTCTCTCCTGGCTTCTCTATTCCTTCCTTCACTTTCTCCCTTGTGTCTCACTGGTCTGAGAGTCGCATTCTTTCCACTGCCCGGTGGGATCCAGTCTCCAATCCTTCGCGTTGTAGTCAGCCCGCCACCTTTCCCCACAAGTTCGGGAACACGCCCCTCCGCCCTGCCTGCTCCCTTCGCACGTCCCGGGCCTTGGACCCTGACTAATGGCCGGTCCCTGCTGTGTGTGGGGTGTTGTGTTTTTTTCTTGTCTCTCCCCAGCAGGGCACGGGGGTGTGAACCAGCTCGGGGGGGTGTTTGTGAACGGCCGGCCCCTACCCGACGTGGTGAGGCAGCGCATCGTGGAGCTGGCCCACCAGGGTGTGCGGCCCTGTGACATCTCCCGGCAGCTGCGGGTCAGCCACGGCTGTGTCAGCAAAATCCTGGGCAGGTGAGGGCCCGGAGCTGTCCCGGGAGACGCCCTGCCTCCTTCCCCACAGAGGACTTGGCTCAAAGTTGCTGCTGCCAAGCGGGACAGGGAGATCTTAAAAACAAAAACAAAAACAAAAAACGGCTCCTTTGGGGGAAGGGCGCTGAAGTGGTGGCCGGCCCCAGGAGTGAGGGTGGAGTAGGGTCTACCCAGGGTCCTGAAAGGGAGGCAGCCCCATTGGGGCTTCAGAGAGGGAGGGACGCTTTTCCCAGCCAGTTAATGTGGACTGGGGTTGGGGTTGGAGGAATCCATTGAGGACCAAACGGAAAAGACAGTATTTGGGAGGCAAAAAGAGAGTCCTTGTTTCCATGGCTCTGTGCTCAGTAGAACAGGGCTGGAAGTGGTGCCTTAGCCCTGGTCAGCCAGAGGCCTCGAAGGGCCCTTCTTTCTTCTTTCCCTAAGCCAAAGCCCAGAACTTCACTCCTAGTGTTGCCTGTTCTGGCCCATGTACACCCAGGCCCTGGTGTGGCTGTTTCCCATGAGAGAATGTCCCCTAGTCCTCTCCCTGCTCCTCTGCAGCATCCCTCGCCCTAATCAAGCACCCTCTGGAAGACGCCTTTTCCTTCCATGCTGCTGTCTCGGGTGGGAGAGTGGCTTAGCAGCTTTGGAGCCTGCAGCCCCCCTGCCCCTGCTACTGCTGGCTCTGGCTGACCTCCTCGGCCTTCTTGGGGCAGGTACTACGAGACTGGCAGCATAAAGCCTGGCGTGATTGGTGGCTCCAAACCCAAGGTGGCAACACCCAAAGTGGTGGACAAGATTGCTGAATACAAGCGACAGAACCCAACTATGTTCGCCTGGGAGATCCGTGACCGGCTTCTGGCTGAGGGCATCTGTGACAACGACACAGTACCCAGCGTCTCTTCCATCAACAGGTGAGCAAGCTCTCTGGACCTGCAGGGCAGGACTCCAGCTCCCCAGCTTCTGTGCCCTGGGCCATCTCCCATGACCCTGTGGGTCTCTGTCTGCTCTTTGTCCAGCTGCCACCCTTCCTTCCACCTCCCAGCCTGAAGTCCTTAGAGCAAGGAGAGGGGACCTGGAAGGCAAAGAGACAGACAGACAGACAGGGCTGTCTCTAGTTCAGAGCTGGGTATTCCCTGCCAGGCTTCTCCCGCCGGCATCCTGGAAATGAATCCAAGTGTTTGTGGTAATTAAGACTCCAAGATTACATGCCTCAGGATCTACAGACAATCATAGCCCATAGCAAAGCCTTTAAAATGACCGGTGTCTATTCATTGCCTCCAAACAGACTTTCCTTTCTAAAGGCCTGTGCCCTTCCCCAGGGGTAGCGGCTGGCCTTGGCTCCCCAACCCTGTCAGCCAGCTCCCACAAAGCTTGCCTCCCAGGAGCCTGGTCTTGCTAGCCAGCTCCACACAAATTTCCGGCCTAGAAGCACTGGCATCCAGGCCTGTAGAGCAAATGCCAGCCAGCAATTGGCAGGGAGTAGAGGAGCTGGACAAGGAGTGGGAGGCCAGGTAGGGAGAGAGGACTGGGACTCTACGACTGACCCTGAGAGATGCCCCAACTACATAGGATGCCTGTTTCAAGGTTGGAGTTTTTGCCCTGGCAAAAGGCTCAGGCATGTGGGGCTAACACAGGCTAGGGTCAGCTCAACTCATAAGATAGTTAGGTCTCCTAATCCCCAAGCTGCTCCAGTGTGCTGTCTAGGAGAACACATGGGCGTGCTCCGTGCATTTACACCCTGACCAGTGTGCCAAAGTGTTTTTCTGGAGTGGCTACAGAATACACAAGCAGCAGTTGGGCCCAGGAACCCTGGCTAGCATCACCATTACAGGACTATATAGCCTAACAGTTATACCTGAGACTCTGCACAAGCCACATGCCGGTCAGAAGCAAGCCCCCCATTTTTGAGGCACCCCCCAAATAAGAAGAGGGATAAGAGTTTTATACCTTGTCATTCTTAGCACTCTTCATAGGCTCATTATCAGGACAACTAATAATTCAGATGGTGCCTTTTTCTGAAACTGGCATCACCTATCACTGGTATTTTTTAAATATTTTGCAAATGATATGGAATTATCCCAAATCATCTTGAAAACAGCAGGTAAAATTAGCTAGTAGAATGTACCTTGGCTAAAGAAGATTCCCTTTGCCACACTTGTGCTGTAACGTACTGCCAGGCGACCCCAGAAATTATCCCAGTGTGTGCCATCTGTATTAAAATGGTTATTCAGTTATGAACAGGGTAACATAATACTGATCAGCTAATTATACACCCTTAGAAACCCTTCTGCTCCCTGGGCCTGGCTTAGCCAGGTATTGAAAACATGGTGGTTTGACATTCAGAAGACACTCAGTGGTTTGAGAAAGGAGTAAGTGATTTGCATTTAAAAGTCAAGAGGAGACTGGGGAAGCTTGAGGGCTGAGGCAGGAGTGGCTTGAGGGAGGGGAAAGGGACAAAACACTGTTTTCTGAGACTCTGCCTCCTGATGGCAGAGGTGTAACTCGGGAGATCAGAGAGCGGCTGGTCCAGGAGTAGCCCAGCTGAGAAGCAGTACTGTTGGACTGGGTGGTGGTACTCTGGAGAACATTGGTGAGAAATGCTTGTTGTCAGTAATGGGATTTGGAGGAGCCCAAGATATTTATCTGTCTGTCTATCTTCTATCTATCTGTCTAGTTAAGGTTATCTGTTTCTCTTGAATGGAGTGGAGGAGGTAGGTGTGGCAGCCCTGCCCTGCCTAGCACCTGTCTTGCCCCTCTCCTTCCAAAACATTCTCCTCACTGATCGAGATGTTTTTGGATGCTGCTTAGGCACAAGTTTGGGAATGTTTTATCCTGAAAGCCATTGAGAGAGTGCAAGGGACAGGTAACTCTAAGATCAAGCTCCAGAGACATTGAGGTGCACCTGCCAGAATTGGAGCAAAGTAGACAAGTGAGTCACCAATGAGATGAGCATGGAGGGAAAGAATGACTTCAGTTTGACAGGTCTGACAGCTGCAGAATCTGACCAGAACAGGATCCTGTGACCTGAGGGGCATGGAGACCTCCTTTGAGTCTCTGGGCAGGCATTGCTGGAGATGGACAAGGCATAGGGGAGAGGAGCAGGGAAGCCACTGGTAGCATGGGAAGCCAGTTTTGGCATTACAGTTAAGTTTCATGGCCTGCTTTGTCAACAGGAGCAATCAGGTTGTTCTTGATTTTGCTTTGGGTGGAATCTTCCTATGCTTCATATTTTGGAAAGGCTTCTAGGTGCTTCCCAGCATGCTACTGGTATCATCTAGACCCCCCCATCCTGTAGGAGCTCTGCTCTGAAGGGAAGGGTTATCAGAGATGTGTTTTACCCTAACACCTGATAAGGGTAAGACGGTTCTGCTAATGCTGGTTATCTCAGGAACTTTGTCTTTTCTCAGTTTTGAGAATTCTTACTGTACAAAGAGCCTGGAGATTTTTCTCTGCACAGAAAATGGGGTGCACTGGGGAATGAGGAGTTCTTGAGTTCAGAACTTTATGGTTGGTGAGGTGTCCATATGTGTGAGGTCCTTTAAAAAAGTTATGAGAAAAGGTATTCAGGAGCTGTCATTGGCAAGAAAAGGAAGTCCTCACATGCTTACCTACCTGAGCCAAAGGTTTTCATCTTCTCTCCAAAACAGATGCTGTCGCTGCACTTGAAATATGCTATTATGGCTATAAACTAAATTGCTTTTGATGCTTTAAAAATGGTTTTGTCATTCTCTGATCCTGTCACGATAAAGGCCTGGTGGTCCAACTTGTATTCTCTCTTAGCAAATCCTCATAGAAATGCCTCTCTGAGGGAGGAGGCCCAAACAATGTATGCACATATGAATAAATGAATGAGCGATAAAAAAGAAATGCCTCTCTGAGCCAAAGGAGTGGGTCAGGGAAGCCTCCCCTCTTCCAGAGACCACTGTCCAAAATCCCAAGATTTGTCTGGGTTGCTTAGCACATGGAATTTATCTGAATCATTCTAAATACTGGGTTACTGATCCCCGAGCATGGAGTTACCAGCTCTTCAGCTTGCATAGCACTGCTGTGGAGGACCAGTGTTTATAAACAGGTGACTTTAGATTGAAACCTGGTGTGGGAAATGGCCTGGAGCGGGGAGAGATGGAGGGAGATCCATGTACTGAAAAGGGGAAAAGTCACCTAGTTACATGGCTGAACAATTGACTAGGCAGGAAGGATTTTCCTGACTATATGCCAGTCTTCAGGTTCAGTTGCTTCTTTGGGCAGAGACCACAGCTCCTTCGATAGAACAGTATAAACTCCAGACAGAGTCTAGACTTACTGAAGATCCTCTCAGGGTGTAGTCTCCAAATGAGCTGACTATAGATCTAACTTTTTGAGCCTTCCCTACACTCTTTGGGGCCAGGAACTCCCCCTGCCCACTGCCCTGGACCTTTGCAGTATCTGCTGCTCACTGATTACCTACCTCCTTTGCTCTCCTTAGCCTGTTTGCTCAAGCTCAGTACACTCTCCTACCAGGGGCAACACTGGCTCCCGGAAGGCTGCAGCCCCAATGCTGTGTTAAGGAATTGCAGCCTGTGTCATTCAGGTGTTTCCCATTGTGTCATTCTCCAGTCTTTTTCAGAGGTCTGGCAGTGAGGTGATAGTGATGTACCAATTGTCTTTCCAAGCAAGTGGGAAGCCCACTCACTGCAGGGTAGGGAGGCTGGAGATGTGCTCTGGATTAGAGTTTGCTCCTTCTTCTCTGAAACTCAGGTTCTAGAATGTTGCATGTTCTACTCTTGGACCTGGGTTGGCAGGAAGCTGCAGCAAAGGGGTGGCATATGTTTGCAGTTGTTTGGTAATCAGCACTGTTGGTCTCAAGGCAAAGAGCCAGGACAGCTTAAGAAAAAGACTTCTTTCTACCTACAGAAGAGTGGGAGAAATCAGGACAGAGAACTTGCCTGTGAGGCCCTGGACTAGTAGCAGATTGGGGCCACAAATAGCAGTTTCTTCCTCAAATTTGCTTACCCATTCTCCCCCAGAGAGGGTCCCTGATGTTAAGTTGCCTATCTTTAGAGTGACATGAGAAACAGGCATGACTCTTGGTGTGATTCTTTAACACAAGCTGGAGTCGTCCCCATGTTTGTTTCTTTATTCATTTAGCCTGGACTTCTTAGCCACTGTTTGGTGGTATTGGTTAGACGTCACCTTGTTGACTGGCTTGTGAGTATTCAGGCTTTCAATGATTGTTTGTCCTGTGTTCCTGTCTTAGCTGGCAACTTTAGAGAAGAGGTAGACAGGAAGGGTTGTTCTAAACAGAACCTCCAGGTAGATTTTAGAAGGTGATGCCAAGAAGGAAAGAGAGAAGGAAACCCTAAATAAATAAATAAATAGTGTCCCAACTGTTCTAAGAACTCAATAAAACAATCACAACAAATATGAAGAGGCATAAATCTTGTGTCTGCACAGGTAACCTACTCAGTTGTTTTTATTATCGCTCAGGCTGGCTCCATTTATTACCGTCCATGGCCCGGGCAAAGGAGGCTGCGTGGAGGGTGGTCTCCAGTGCAATCCTACACCCTGAAAGGCAACAATCAGCCCATACAGCCAGGGATTTCGATGGGAGCCCAGGAAGGGCCCATCTGTCTGCATGAAAACCAATCAATAACTCTGTAACCAGAGCCCTTGTCACAGGGAAATGGACAACAAAACAGTTCAATAGAGGGGCCACAAGGGGAATTAGCCAAGTGGAGATGGGACCAGGCAGGAGTGGCCCCTTGAATGGAAATACGGGTACCTGGAGAAGGATACTGGGGAGGCAGCAGGCATGTGGCAGGGGATAGCAGGACTTTGTATGATTATTGACACAAGGTGGAAGATTGTGCTAAGTCGGCCCAGGGAAGGAGAGGTGATGTTGGAAGTTGGAGTGGTGGGAACATGTGTTTTG